GATATCTGATTGTAGTTTTTATCTGCAATTTCTCTAATGGCTAATGATCATGAGCATTTCTTCATGTGTCTGTTAGCCACCTGAATATTTTCTTTGGCGAAGTGCCTGTTCATATCTTTTGCCGATTTTTTAGTTGGGTTATTTGTCTTTTTCTTGTTGAGGTTTTGCATATCTTGTAGATTTTAGAGATTAGACGCTTATCAGATTTGTCGTAGCTAGCAGCCAAACTCTTAATCGCTATACCACCAGTGCTCCAAAATCTTACTAGACAGTCTTAAAAGGAAAAGACAAACAAGATCTTCAGATAAAAGCAAAGCAGAGACATATAATTCTCAGAAATTACCTGCAATAAAAGGGATCTTAAGGGATATCCCAGAATATCCTGGAAGTCCCTGGGTGGTGCAAACAGTTAAGTGCTTGACTACTACTAACCAAAAGGTTGGCAGTTGAATCCTCAAAAGAAAAGCCTGGTAGTCAATGAAAACCCTATGGAGCACAGTTCTACTCTGATACACATGGGGTCACCATGAGTCAAAACTGACTCAAGTGCAATGGGTTTGGTTTGTTTTTGTTTTTGTTTTTTAAGAATATCTAGTCAAATCCCCTGGCTGTTGATGATACTCTTAATGATTGCTATTAAATTCACTTCAATTATTTTCACTTTGTGCTTAAGCACTTGGCTGCTAACTGGAAGGCTGGCAGTTCAAAACCCACCAGCCACTCCACAGGAGAAAGATGTGGCAGTCTGCTTTCATAAAGCTACAGTCTTAGAAACCCTATAGGGCAGTTCTACTCTGTCCTATTAGCTTGCTATTAGTCAAATTTGACTTGACGGCAATGGGTTTGGTTTGGTTTTTGGTACACTGCCAAAAGGAACAGAAAATTATGCAATGGGCCACAGGAAAACATACCTCAATGGTTAGAACTTCATAGGCCATCAAGTATAAATCAATAACTTTTACTGAATAATTTACTGAAAACCAAGGAGGGATATGAAAGAATGTTTATCCATTTTGGGACAATATTATTTTGAGAACTGCTTACCATACCAAACTGAGAAAGAACAAACAACATAGTATAGCTCAACTGATCAGGCCCAAGACATTTTTCCCATTGGATGCAACAGTTTATCTTCCCAGTTGGAATTAGGAAATATGGTACTAGCCTAAATCCACAATTAAGATGGCGGAAGAAGCCATCAGTATTGTATGTCTTGGGCTGATTTAATTCGGCTTCTTTACTGATGACCCAGGTACAAAGAAGAATGAATAGTAATATTCTCCTTTAAAAGATTCAGGTGGTAGGGAGCTGGACAGGTCCCATTCCCTGACCCCCACCCCCAAGGAAAGACAGCATTACAGTTGAAAGAGACTCAGCAAAAAAAATTTTAAATTGGATGCTATAAAATGACATAATGTAGATTACACACTGGGTGAAAAGAAATGTAATTTGGGAATTCCAGTACTAAGAGTTCAGATAATGAACATTAAGTTTATAATATTTTACGCCATTTGGATGACTTTTTTAAACAGAACAATATTATTAAACTTATGTAATACATTTTAATGGGAAAAATATCATAGTAATAATGACAACAAAAACAATAAATTTTTTGCAAGAAGAACTTTAAGGCCATAAAATATGGTCAAGTAAGACTGAGTTCTTTGTGTCTCAATTCACAGAATAAAAGAAATATGAGGTGGGAAAGTGAAAGGTAGCTAGCATATTTAAGGCAGTAATTACCACATCCCTAAAAATGGAGTGAAATGGGAAGACTAACTTGAATCATTTGAGCAAAGGGAAAACACTTATTTTGAGAGGGGAAGGAAGATGTATTAAGAGGGACATTTTTCTTTGGTTGGGTAAGACAGAACATCTGAGTCATTCAGAGGACTCTTCACATTGACTCTGTATTAAACCATTAGGTGACCAGCTAAAACACTAGAAATAAAATGGGAGTCATGACTACACATTCTTGCACTCCCCATACTGAGTACTATCACATTCTTGGAAACATAGTTCCACAGTTTAAAAAAATTTGAGTTCATATTATTAATATGAATAACAATATTCTCCTTTAAAAGATTCAGGTGGTAGGGATCTGCACAGGTCCCATTCCCCAACTCCCACCCCCATGGAAAGACAGCAATATAGTTGAAAAAGACTCAGCAAAAAAAAAATTCTTAAATTGGATGATATAAAGGGACATAATCTAGATTAGGGACTGGATGAAAAGAAATGTAATTTGGGAATTCCAATGTTACGAGTATATCCCTTGAAGTCTTCTTAAAACCAAACAATAGTTTAGCTTAACTAGTAAAAAATGTCTGCCTTAAGTGTTATGCTCTTTTAAGATCTATCTATATGGGATCAAACTGACAACAGTAACTCGAAAGATTAGATAAGTACTTTAGGGGGCAGTGAGTTTATTTTAATGGGGGAGGAACAACTCATAAAAGGAGGGTGAGAATGGCTGCACAACTCAAAGAATGTAATCAGCATCACTGTACATATAGAAACTGTTGAACTGGTATATGTTTTGCTGTGTATATTCTCAACAACAACAAATAAAATATTTTAAAAAATTTTAGAGTTGAGAAGTTTAAAATCAGAAAGGTCACCATGGATAATGAAGAGAAAGTATTTTAGCTAAATATGAAAGATTCTGACATGGTTTATAAGTTCCCATGGCTTATAATATCAGGACTCTATTAATATTTCACTTCTAATGAGCACTTCTAATGAGACACTAAAAAAGGGAGGGGCGTTTTATCCCATTCTCTCCCCAAAGCTACACATGACTAACATGACCCTGTCACTTCCTCCATTCTCCCTGTGTGATATTAGGCTACTTTAGAGCATTTTCTCTCAGGGTACACTCTGCATGCACACAGTCATCCTCAGCAACAGTTCTTTTGAGTTTAACTTGTCAGGGATGCCGCCTGGTGTGTCTCCAAATTCAGCTAAGCCCAGTGGACTCATGGCGACACGAGACAGGTACTGTCAGACGTAATTAACTTCATTATGTAACTAAATATACAAGGACACCAGTCCAAATAAGTGGCACTTACTTATGTCCATTTAAGGCTGCATGGTGTAAAGCAGTGTAACCCGAACTGTCTGTGCAGTTCACATTGGGGCCTCGCCAGATGCTGCAAATAAAGCACAAGTGCAGAGTTAACAACTGAGCAGAATCATGCCTTGAAAAACAAAAAGAAGCCTGATAGTCCCACAGCCAGCAGCATGCTGCACAGGAAAATTTTAGTCATGTAAAAAACGACTGCCATCTTTCGGGCATTCCCCTCAGAAAAATAATCTCATGATTAGACACAGGAAAACTGACGAGGAACATAACTACTTTCAAAAATTATTAGCAAGCATATGACCACTGCCATGCATTAAAGTTCAGATCCCAAAATTCTCTATTACTCTCTATCATTACTTAAATATTGGAAGCAATTAACGCTCAGCTACTACATTCTGTACCAAAGAACAAAGATTTATGACACCCGCCTCCTCCTTTTTAACACACTTCATTCTCAGATGGCTGTGATTTATATAAATTATATTTTTGCACTATGGGAGAATATAATCTCTTCTTGCTGCTCTATTGCTACCAAGAAAATTTAGTCAGTGTTTCATTCTTAAAGTATAACTGAAGACCTGAACTGTTGTAAACTGTAAGAAGATTCTAACAATTTTTGCAGTTATTGATTTTACTATACAATATATTCTGGATAAAATATGTAACTATATAAGAGTCCATCCTACCTTTAATCACTATGATTAAATAAAAAATTTTTAGCTTTTGGAAAAATGAGGCATTGAAGACACTTTCCCAAAAATTCATCAAAAAAATGATTTTATCTGCTGTTCACAGTGATATCATTTAATGACAACTAATTCACATATTCAGTAAATATTCACTGTACACCAGTTGTATGTCACATATTAAGCTAGGCGCTGAGAGCAAAAAATCGTAAACCAAGGTCCTTCTTTACAAGAACATAGTCTAATGGAGGATACAGATGCATAAGTAGTAATCAGATGGTAGTAAGATAGTTGAGATACCAGATCTCTGAGAAGAGAGTGACTAGCAATTCGAAATAAGAGATCATGACAGACTTGACCTAAGGTGGAACAATGAAAATGAGCAGAATGCACTGATTCAAGAGTGAATTAAAAGGAAACATCAATATGACGCAGGGACCAAATGGATGAAGGGAAGAAAAAAGAATGCAAAAGCCTATAATAACTCAGATTTCAATCTTAGGTGACTAGAAGTAAGTTTATGACATTAACTACAATAGAAAAAGGAAGAAGAGGAGAAAATTGCTAGGGGAAGGATAGTGCAGATGGAGAGGAAAGAGTGACTTCGGGTTCAGAAACATGGAATTTTAAGTTTCTGACATGCTTATGTACAAGTAAGGATTTCCAGGAGACTACAATAAATAAGATAGTGTTGTACTGAAGTAAAAACAGGTAGATCAATGGAACAGAACACAGGAATAGACAGTTCATATAGATCCACACATATATGCAATTGATTTTCGACAAAGGTGTCATGAAATTCATTAAAGACAGTCTTTTCAAAAAATAGTGCTGGACAAAAAGTAACTCAAAATGGATCAAAGACCTAAATACAAAATCTAAAACGATAATGATCATGGACAAAAAAATAGGGACAACACTGGGAACCCTAATACATGGCATAAACAGAACACAAAACATTACTAACAATGCACAAACACCAGAAGAGAAACTAGATAAATGGGAGCTCCTAAAAATCAAACACTTATGCTCATCAAAAGACTTCACCAAAAGAGTAAAAAGACAACCTACAGATTGGGAAAAAGTTTTTGGCTACAACAAATCTGATCAGCATCTAATCTCTAAAATCTACATGATACTGCAAAACCTCCGCAACAAAAAGACAAATAACCCAATTAAAAAATGGACAAAGGATACAAACAGGCACTTTACCAAAGAAGACATTCAGGCAGCTACCAGATACATGAGAAAATGCTCATGATAATTAGCTATCAGACAAATGCAAATCAAAACTACAATGAGATACCATCTCAACCCAACAAGGTTGGCACTAATCCAAAAAACACAAAATAATAAATGCTGGAGAGGTTGTGGAGAGACTGGAACACTTATACACTATTGGTGGGAATGTAAAATGGTACAACCACTTTGGAAATCAATTTGGAACTTCCCTAAAAAGCTAGAAATAGAAGCACCATATGATCCAGCAATCCCACTCCTTGGAATATAGCCTAGAGAAATAAGAGCTGTCATATGAATAGATATATGCACACCCATGTTCACTGCAGCACTGTTCACAATAGCAAAAAGATGGAAACAACCTAGGTGCCCAACAACAGACGAATGGATAAACAAATTATGGTATATTCACACAATGGAATACTATGCAACGATAAAGAACAACGATGAATCTGTGAAACATCTCATAACATGGATGAATCTGGAAGGCATTATGCTGAGTGAAATTAGTCAGTCGCGAAAAGACAAATATTGTATAAGACCACTATTATAAGAACTCAAGAAATGGTTTAAACACAGAAGAAAACATTCTTTGATGGCTATGGGGGTGAGGAGGGAGGGAGGGGGTATTCACTAACTAGATAGTAGATAAGAATTATCTTAGGTGGAGGGAAGGACAGCACACACTACAGGGGAAGTCAGCACAACTGGACTAAACCAAAAGCTAAGAAGTTTCCTGAATACATCCAAACACTTTGAGGGACAGAGTAGCAGGGGCAGAGGTCTGGGGACCATGGTTTCAGGGGACATCTAGGTCAACTGGCATAACAAAGTTTATTAAGAAAACGTTTTGCATCCCACTTCAGTGAGGGGCATCTGGGGTCTTAAAACCTAGCGAGCGGCCATCTCAGATACATCAATTAGTCCCAACCCACCTGGAGCAAAGGAGAAATAAGAACACCAAAGACACAAGGTAAGTATTAGCCCAAGAGACAGAAAGGGCCACATAAACCAGAGAATCCACCAGTCTGAGACCGGAAGAACTAGATGGTGCCCAGCTACCACCAATGACTGCCCTGACAGGGAACACAACAGAGAGTCTCTGATGGAGCAGGAGAAAAGTGGGATGCAGAAGTCAAATTCTAGTAAAAAGACCAGACTTAATGGTCTGACTGAGACAGGAGGGACCCCAGAAGACATGGCCCCCGGACTCTCCATTAGACCAGAACTGAAACCCATTCCCAAAACTAACTCTTCAGACAAAGATTAGACTGGACTATGGGACATAAAATGATACTCATGAAGAGAGTGCTTCTTAGCTCAAGTAGATACTTGAGACTAAATGGGCAGCTCCTGTCCGGAGGCAAGACGAGAAGGCAAAAAGGGACAGGAGCTGGTTGAACGGACACGGGAAATCCGGGGTAGAAAGGAGGAGGGTGCTGTCACATTATAGGGAGAGCAGGTAGAATCACATAGCAATGTGTGTATAAATTTTTGTATGAGAAAGTGACTTGAACTGTAATCTTTCACTTAAAGCACAATTAAAAAAAATAAAATAAAATAATGGTGCTGGAAAAAGTGGATGTCCTTTGGGAGGGAGGGACTACATCATATACAAACAAGAACTAAAAATGAATAATAAATTTAAAACTAAAACCTAAAATCATAAAACTTCTAAAAGAAAACACGGGAGAAAATCCTTATAACCTTGGGATAGACAATGAATTCTTAGATATGACACCAAAAAGCATGACACATACAAGAAAATTTGATAAAATGGACTTCAGCAAAATTAAGAACTCTGGTCTTCCAAAGACACCGTTAAGGGAATGAAAAGCAAATGGACTGAAAGGAAACATTTGTAAATCACATTTTCTGATATATTTTTGTATGCAGAATAGGTATTTTAACAAAGCACTAATAAGAAAATTAACAACCCAATAAAAAGTGAGCAAAAGATCTAAACAGATACTTCACCATAGAAGACTTAATAGATGGCAATAAAAGCATGAAAAAGATGCTCAGCATCATTTGTCATTACAGAAATGCATATTAAAATCACAGTGAGATAATACTACATACCTATGAGAATGGCTATCATTAAAAAACTTGTCAAAGCAATGTTGGCAGTGATGTGAATCAACTGGATTCTCACACACTACTGCTGAAGTTGTAAAACAGTACAACCACTTTGGGAAACAAGTTCAACAAGTTTCCTAAAGTTAAACATATATCACCATATAACTCAGCCATTCCACTGTAGGTATTTAGTCAAGAGAAATGAAAGCTTATATCCACACAAAGACTTACACATGGATATTCATAACAGCTTCATTTGAAATAGCCCAAAACTAAATTACTAAATGTCCATTAACAGATGAATGGATAAACCAATTGTGATATAGCCATACAATAGAATACTACTCAGAAATATAAAAGTATGAAATACTGAAATACCCAACAACAGGATGATCCTCGAAGTAATTATGTTGAAAGAATTCAAACCAAAAAGATTACAGAGACTGTATGACTCTGTTTATATAAAACTCTGGAAAACACATACCAGTCTATAGTGACAGGAAGGAGATTAAGTGGTTACCTAGAGATGGGGATAGGGTGGAGAGAGATGAAGGAAGGAATTACAAATTTGCACAAGAAAACTTTTCTGGGTAACATGTACATTATCTTGATTGTGGGAATAGCTTATATACATACGTCATACCTTATCAAATTGTACAAGTTAAATATGTGTAATTTTTCGTATTCCAATTATACCTTAGTAAATTTCAAAATAGAAAAGGAAGATCAGTTGAAAAGCTAAGAATCAGATTCTTAGGTCCTCTGCTCCTCTCAGGAGAGCAGACTGACTGTCCCTCTGTCTCCCCAGCAGAAGGGGAGATTTATTCTCAGGTTGCAGAGACGCAGAATCAGCAACAGGAGTACTAAGTGAATGTTTGCATACCGAATGTTGAAATCCCTAAACATCTTCCCATAATTAGCTTCTAAAATACCAACAGCTAGGCTTTTATGCTCCAGGCGGTGTGCCAGAATATCTTTATATGAATAATCCAAGAGTCTCCACCCAATGAAATGGCGCAGTCAGATCATCCTACAGTATAAAATTAGTGTGCTTGTAAGTATT